ACTATTTATAATTGGAAAAGATACATAGCATTCTCAACAGAAAATAATTATGTAAGTTTTGCTTCTTAGGAAGTAACCCAATGTAAACCCTATGACCGATAACTCAGATATGTGTACTCTAGAAAGTAGAAGTTTACTAGTACTTATTCGACACCATTTATTTATTTGACACCATCTATATGAAGCTGCAATTACACTATCATCTCTTCTAAACTTCCACCTCTCAATCCAGAAAGCCTTTCTTTGTCGTTTAAGACACTAATACCTCTGCATGTTCAAGTGGATTGTTGCAGCTGACTCACCGCTTTAGCTACAGATAGATTGTCTCCACCAATACAATAAATGACTTGTTTTAGTAATTCAGGATTATTTAGAACCTCAGTAACAGCATCAGAATTTTCAACAATTCTTCCAACCTGAAAGAAAAAAACAATCAGAAATACTCTTCCAAGGTACGGCAACAAGTGAACATCTGACGGTCAAATTACCTTAGTGTACAGTTATTCTAAGAGTTACTGATTACAACTACAAGACAAGTCATTAAAAATTCCAAATAACCCACATTCATTAAAGCCAAGCACACAATGGCATAGTCATATCTATGAAAGAAAAATAAAAAAATAAAATGGGTAAAGAGTTGAGACACCTCAGTGAGTGAAAACAATAAAATTCCTAGTTCTATTCCCTTTTAGCTAAACTGAAACCCTGGGCAAGTAACTTCTCTGAGCCTAATTTCTTATCTGTAAAGTGGGAATATAATACTTAAGTACAGGATAGTAATGAAGATTAAATGAGACTAAGTAGGTAAAGCACATACTACAGTGCCTGGCACATAAATGATAAATTGATGTTTTCCCCAATCTGTTGAATAAACATTTTAGAGGAGAAAAGGAAAAACAGTAATTGAATACCTATTGGATAAACTAACTGCTCAGATACTAACATTCTCAGCAGCAGTTCTTCACCCAAATAGTAGCATGTTTTGACTACCAGAGTGATAAGAACTGCTTTAATTTGTTGGGTTAGGAACCTTTACAACAGAACTTTGTTCATGCCAGTATAACAACATGACTTAACATGGCAATCTTTTTCTCTAGACTAGGGGCTCCTCTAAGGAAAGAAATAAGTTTTTATTTACCTTAGTAGCTCTAACAACATATGGTACAGTGCCTGGCATGTAAAAGTAACTCAGTATTTGATGAATGAATACTGCCAATGGTACTTAGAACTTCTTACTTTAACTTGTATCCCCCTGGTCATAGTTAGCTATGTACACTAGAATAGACTAGACCAATGGTCGGCAAACTCATTAGTCAACAGAGCCAAATATCAACAGTACAACAATTGAAATTTCGTTTGAGAGCCAAATTTTTTAAACTTAAACTATATAGGTAGGTACATTGTTATTAACTTAATTAGGGTACTCCTAAGCTGGCCTTTGCTAAAAACGTCCTCAATCTGATTGAGGTACATTCGCTGAGGTCGACCCCTTCCAACTCTCCCATCCACACTCGTCTTGTATACTTGTTTCACCCAGGCCAAAAACCGACTTCTGCCCATGGGCCACGAAGTTTCAATCGCACTGTACGTGCGCGCCCGCACGTGGTTTTTTGTGGAAGAGCCACACTCAAGGGGCCAAAGAGCTGCATGTGGCTCGTGAGCCGCGGTTTGCCCACCACTGGACTAGACACTCCCTGGGGACAGCGAGAGATCATGTTTTCTTCATCTCCCTGCACAGAAACTCGCCCAGAGCAGGTGGTCACTAAGGGTTGGTTCCCTTATTATGTGCTAGCACGATTTCATACCTGGGATAGAGTGAGGATTTTTACGGAATCATTGGGGTGAGTCAGTCCCCTCTGCAGGTCAACCCTGAAGTTCCGAGCCACGTGAACTGGCTCCAGAGCCTGGAGCAATCTCTCCAGAATGGATACACACAAAGTGGTCTGTTCCCTAAAGGAGATACCATAGACCTCATTAGTTCATGTCCTTTCAGGTAGAAGGGAATCTAATAATATCTGACCCCTGGCTCAATGAGGATCTCCACACAGACTTCTCTTCAAAACATCAGCTTCTACTTTAACATTAAATGTTCATTAAACATTTACCACGTACCTATTATGTGCCATGCCTGTGCTGGGGCTACAAAGAATGATAAGATATACTCTATAACCACAAGGAGCTCAGTCTAATGGAAGATACAGAAAAATAGGCAACTATAATCCAGTTAGATAAACGCTAGCTTAAAGCTGGGAGCTGTGGGAACTCAGTAAAGAACAAAGGGTACAGGGTATACCTGAGCAAATTTTTAAGTTACCCAAGAGAAGAAAGGTAAAGGGCATAGTAGCACATGAAAAGGCACAGAGTGGTATGCATTCAAAGAACCATGGTATGACTGGGATCAGAAAGGGAGAGAAATGGGAAGAAGGTAGGTAAAAGGAAAAAGATGTCAAGAAATGAAATTTTAAAAAATGCAATGCACAGCAATCTGATTTTGATTGGTCTTTTATGTCCTGCTATGGAATTTCCCAGACGGCAATGGCAAGTCAAGATGGGGTTTTAAAGCAGAATTAACATGATGAGATCTGACTTCTAGAAATCACTTTGTCAGTGTTAGAGAAAGAATTTTCAGTTAGAAGTTTATGTTGAGGTGATGAAGGAGTGAAAGAGGTTTAAGAAGCTATTAAAGAAGTAAATTAATTAGAACTTGATGACTACCAGATGTACATTCAGAAGGTGTTTCAAGAATAACTTCTTTGTCTCTTAATAGGCAGCAAAAGCAACTGAGCACTCATACATTGCTAATAGGAAGCACACTATTAAATTGGTATGATCTTGCTAAAAGGCAATCAAGTAATGAATAGCAAAAGCCTTAAAAATGAACATATCCCCAAGGTCATTGAAAACATGTTCACACAAAAATTTGTACAATGTTCATAGCAGTGGAAACAACCCAAAAAACATGCATAAATGTATAAATGTGGTATAGCCACACAAAGGAATATTCCTCACAAAAAGGAATGAAGTACTGATGCATGAACCTTGAAAATACGTTAAGTGAAAGGAGCTAGACACAAAAGGCTTCCTTTTGACAATGATTCCATTTACATGAAATGTTCAGAATAGACAAATTCAGAGACAGAAAGCAGATCACTGGCTGCCAGAACCTGCGAGTGGATGAAAGGGGAAAGGGGGGAGACCACTAAAGGTTTTCTTTTCCTTTAAAAAAAAAATTGCTGTCCTGACTACGTAGCTCAGTTGGTTAGAGTGCAGTCCCCATATACCGAGGTGGCAGGTTTGATCTCCAGTCAGCTCACATACAAGAATCAAGTAATGAATGCATAAATAAGAGGAACCACAAATCAATGTTTCTCTCTCCAAAAATCAATCAATAAAAAAATTGCAATTGTACAGACCATAAAATTTACAATTTTTACCATCTTTTTCACTGATTTCAGAGAGTGGGGGGGAGAGAGAGAGAGAGACAGAAATATCAATGATGAGAATCATTGACAGACTGCCTCCTGCACGCCTCCTCCTGGGGATGGAGCCCACAACCTGGGCATGTGCCCCGACTGAGAATCAAACTGTGACCTGGTTCATGGGTCAATGGTGTGACCGGGCCCATTTTAATCTTTTTTTTTCTTTTTAAAAATTTATCTTTATTATTGAAAGTATTACAGATGTCCCCTTTGTTTCTTTTTTTCCCCATTGACCCCCTCCACCCCACTCCCAGGCCTTCACCACACTGTGTCTGTGTCCATGGGCTATGCATACATGCATATCATAATTCCCCGATTTATCTCTCCCCACCACCACCTAGCCTCTGAAATTCCTCAGTCTGTTCCATGCTTCTATGTTTTAACCATTTTATAAGTACAGTGCTGTGGTATTAAGTACATTCACGGTGTTGTGCAGTCATCACCAGGATCCAACTCCGGGACTTTTTCATCTCCCATTGGAACTGAAACTGCATCCATGAAACACTGACGTCCCATTTTCCCTTTCCCTCAGCCCCTGGAGACCATTCTACTTTCTCTACGCATTTGACTACTCTAGGTACCTCATGTAAATGGGATCCTACAATATTTTCAAGTAGAAAAGTTTTGGGTCACAAGTATTTTTTAACTCTTCTAAATTATGGAATACAAAGTATACCTGCATGTTAAATTACTGGACCAAATGGTGTATGAATCTAAATGTTGATAGATCTAGCAAAATTGCCAGGATAGGACCCCTCCTGAGGAGAAAAAGTCAAGCACTGGTGCACAAAGACTGTGTGGAGTCCTCCCTGCGGGCGGGAAACCTTGCTTCCCCGCCCTCAAGTCCTACTTCAAGGATGAAGGCAGTGAGGCCAGGAGATGGTCAGGGGCACAGCTCGGGGGCTGGGCTTGCACCCCATTTCTTGCCTCTCAGCCTAGGGTCCTTCCCTCTCTGAAATTTCAGCTTTTTTTTAAAACCTTTATTTGCGACTGGATAAAGCCCTCCCTCCATCCCAGCCGCTTCCGTCTCCACACTTGGCGGAGTCTCCCTCTCCGCCCCCCACCCCCTCACCCCCACGCCGCTCAAGCTGCGGGGTCCTCTCACCGATGGTTTTCACTGAGCAGGGAGAAAAGCGAACTGAGGCGTAGTTCCGCCGCGTGCTCGCGGAGCTCGCTGAGCGGCACCGCCTGCAGCACCGACTGAAGCGCGCGCAGCTCCTCCAGCGGCGCTTCCAGCCGCGACACATCCCTCAGCAGCGCCAGCGCCTGGGCCGCCATCATGCCTCCTCCAGCAGAAAGGGGCTTGCACGGCCGCCTTCCCCGCTCCCGGCTCCAGGATCCCGGCGGGATTCTCCGAGTCTCGCGAGATCTTAGGGACGCAACCTCCCTTCGCTGAACATTGGCTGTGACTGCGAACCGTCCGGCCTCCGCAGTAGCGAGGCGGAGCTGGCGGACCGCGCACGGTCCCGGTATTCCCAAGCCTCGCGAGATGTGGGTCCGTGAGAGCCAAACCAATGATCGTTCGTGGTTGCGGGGTCGCAGAGCGGCGTCCTCTCAGGCGCTGCTCAATTGGCCGTGCGGTCATAAGTTTCCCGGCGGCTGGCGTAGTTCCCACGGAGCGCGGAGGTGCCACAAATGCCTGGCCAGCGGGGTAGTGAGCGTGAGAACCAACTGAAGGTTAAGCGATCTCGCGAGCCGCCTCCCGGCTCTCAAATCACGCTCTCGGCACCGGCTAGGGCGGGCGTGGGAGTGGCCCCTGTGACCTGGGCAGCAAATGAGGCTACCCCAGGCGGAGCGGAGGCGATGGGCCTCATCTCGGGTTAGAGGAGGCGGAGAGCCATGCCTCTGGAAGACACGATGAAAAGTTTCTAGAGTAGACGTTGAAAGAAGGCGTAACGCCGACGTGGGGCGCTTTTGGGGCGTCAATGAGTCAACGATGCTCACTCACTATTGAGAAAAACAAGAAGGCCATCACGGAGTGTTTCGCCCCTCTTCTCTACTGCACTCCCCGGGATGTAAACATCAAGAAGATGGAGACCGAGTTAACCTTTTGGGTCAAGGACGGGCTCAGATGGTAGGGGGTGGGAACGGGAGGGGGGAGCGGGGAGCGGGGAGACAGTTCCGAAGCTGAAGGCCATCTGTACAAGCGTCTGGTGGAAACCACTAGGAAGGGCAACCCAGATAAATTTCATGGGGAAATGGGGTGGCTTGGGAAACCTTTACCGTTTGCGAAGTTAAATGCCCAGTGGGCACCTAAGTACTCCAGGCAACTCCAGAAATTGATGAGAGCCAGAACCTATGTGCCTCACCGGGTCTTCCGTGCCAAGGACAGGAGCTTTGTTTTGGAAGTGCACCCTTAGTGTACTTTTAGGGGGAAAAAATACAATCTAGAAGTCTTAGAGGAAGCTAAGAACAGGATTTTCCTCATTTTGTGCCGATGCTGCAAGTGACAAAAAGATAAAATAACTGCTGCTTTATTTTTTTTATTTTTTATTTTTTTAAAATATATTTCATTGATTTTTTACAGAGAGGAAGGGAGAGGGACAGAGAGTTAGAAACATCAATGAGAGAGAAACATCGACCAGCTGCCTCCTGCACACCTCCCACTGGGGATGTGCCCGCAACCAAGGTACATGCCCTTGACCGGAATCGAACCTGGGACCCTTCAGTCCGCAGGCCAACGCTCTATCCACCGAGCCAAACCGGTTTGGCGTCTGCTGCTTTATAAAGACCCTAATCCCACTTGTCTTTTTAAAAAATATATATTTTATTGATTTTTTGCAGAGAGGAAGGGAGAGGAATAGAGAGTTAGAAACATCCACCAGCTGCCTCCTGCACACCCACTACTGGGGATGTGCCTGCAACCAAGGTACATGCCCTTGACCGGAATCAAACCTGGGACCCTTCAGTTCTCAGGCTGACGCTCTAGCCACTGAGCCAAACCGTTTAGGGCCCACTTGTCTTTTGGAAAAAGATGAAAAAACAACAACTCTTCCTGTTTCCTGACAGTCACTGGACTATCAGTAACTGCTGCCCTCTTTTTGGATTGGTTTCATAATTGTTTTATCCATCAAGCCCAGATTTATTTAACAAAAAAATCTTGAATTCAAAGTGTTGCTAATTTTGGGCAGAGATCTCAATCACCCAGACTTACTATTTTTTGCTTATCCTAGTATGATACTGTGTGCTTCTCCCTCTGGGAGGCACTGGCTATCATCAGCTCTTGGATCAGGGAATAATTGAAGCATTGAGGAGGTATTACACCAAGCATATGTTTGACCACTTTGCTGACTGTATTGAAAAAAAACAAAACACCTTGTCTTAATTTGAAAGAAACATGGGAACAAGTACAACATTGCTGATAGTTTGGTGATGATATAAAACCAGCTGCTCTTACTAAAGTCTGGTGGCAGCTTTGGGATGATGTGAATGATTATGCATGGTTCCCTAGAAAACATTGGGGGGAAAAATCAGAGTTCGCAAAAATGGATGGGCTTTAAATTCATCAATATCGATGAAAATAATAAGTTACTCTAGTTTCAAGTTTTGGTGATAAGAGTATAGATAAGGAAGAAGACAAGTCTCCAGAATTAGAGGTAAAGATGAACCTAAGGAAATTGAATACTGTCTTACACTCTGCCTAAGTCTTCATTGATACTGCAATTAATATGGATCCTTTCCTGGATTGAAATTGGCTTTTAAAAAAGGTTTTGATAAATTGTTGTATACCTATAAAAAGGTGCAAGAGCACCTTCAAAAATAAAGGAGTTGAAGAGAAGGAAGACACATAATATAGAGGAAGTGTGGATGAAGAAGATGGATACAGAATGAGTCTGTAAGGGAGTCTGAGCCTGAGTCTAAATCAGGGGTGGGCAAACTTTTTGACTTGAGGGCCACAATGGGTTCTTAAACTGGACCGGAGGGCCGGAACAAAAGCATGGATGGAGTGTTTGTGTGAACTAATATAAATTCAAAGTAAACATCATTACATAAAAGGGTACGGTTTTTTTTTTTTTTAGTTTTATTCATTTCAAACGGGCAGGATCCGGCCCGCGGGCCATAGTTTGCCCACGGCTGGTCTAAATTCTACTAGGAGGAGGAAAAGTTAGAAAGAGAATAAGAAGCCTCCAGAGGAACAGTCTGGCCCTCAAGCAGTGGCACTAAGAATCATACTATATCTGAAAAATCTGCCAAAACCAGAAATGCAGGATTGGACTTCTGGAATCTAACCTTGGAATGGAATTTGGAAAGAGTAAAGGTGCCTGAGTTGAAGGAAGAAGATTCCAGAGGCAGTTTCTGCCAAATAACAGTTAATTTCTTGCCATCCTTGCGCTGTTGCCCCCACATCACCTTCATCATGACCATTATTATAATCCATATCATTTAGTTGTTAAACAAGCATTTATAAGCCTAAATTGTGTGGGGTTTTGTGCTAAACTTGGGGACATCATCTCAGGATTTAAGGTAAATGGTCATTAACCAGTGGCCTTTCTTAATAAGGTAATAGGTATCCAAGATCACAGTCTTGAATATAAAGATTTTCTTAGGACACTGGGCCTCATTGACTGTAACTCTGTTTTTCCCCAGATATTAAGTTCTTCCATGGCAAATGGAGATTTTCTAAGTTACCAATAGTTGCCATGAGAATACTTGCTCTTGAAATGCTGACATGGTCTTACATTTTACAAAGCACTTTTACATTAATCTACTCTGTTAAACCTCACTTGAGACCTATGAAGGTCTATCAGCCTGTCCTTCACCAAGCCCCTTACCCCCCCAAAGCTCAGAGAGGTTAAGTAAGCTGCCTGAGTCTGCACAGCTAATGATGTAAATGATAAGAGTAGGGCTGCAACTGATTTATTTGTCAGACACTGCTAGGAAGTCCATCATTCCTTTGAGAATTCATAGTCCCAGGGAATGGGACAAAACAGGCGAACAGGTAATTTAAAACAGAGGCTTCGAACTGGCAACCTACAGGCCAGATTTGGCTACCAGATGTGTTTTGTTGAACCTGCTCAGTTTAAAACCGTTTTGAATTGGTTTCCAGTGCCCCCCCAATGCCTTTCTGTTTAAGGTACTATTTACATACAATACAATTAAAGTGTACATTTCATAGAATTTTTTAACACTTGTGTAACTACCACCACAACCAAGATATAGAACAGTTCCCTTAATTTTAAAAAGTTTACTTGTGTCTTGTGCACTCAGTCCCTTCTCCTGCCATAGGATATTTCACATGAAAAGGCTGGATTAAAAAATTGGAAACCCTGACAACAGTGGACTCTGCGCTTCTGAAGGGCAACAGTCTTTAGCTTGCTGCTTTGCTTATTTGCATCTCCCCATAGTTGATGTTAAATGTTGCAACAGAAGTGTGTGCCAAGCGCCTCAGGGGAACATAGGACCTGGTATTAACTCTGGGAAAGGCTGCACAGAGCAGCTGAGTGAGTTCATAGGGAGAGCAGTTGGGAGCCAGAGAGTTCTAAACCCAGGAGGATTAGAAGGGAGATTCTGGGAGCGGGGGCTGATATGGGGGACAGGAAAGCAGCAGAGGGTATCTCACTTGTTGGCTGGATGGGCTGTATAAAGTGGAAGAGTTTAGTGTATATGTCTTAGTGTTTGTGTGTTTTGCTTTCTGAAGGTTTTGTATACCCAAGAAACTTACGTCTTTTTATCTGTACATCTCTGGGGATTTTAAGGTATTTTTGCTGTTGTTCTTGGCATGGGAAGGGAAAATTCGTATTTTATTTTTGTAAGGGTTATAGGTCTGCGTGTGGTGCTTGGATTGTATGTTTCTAGGGAGAGGGTTGCCCAGAGAAAATTTCTCACTCTTACCCCGCCCCCTCCACTATCTCGTTCCAACCAGCCTGCCTGGGGCGGGGCAGTAGGGCAGGCAGCAGGTGGGAGGGTGGGGGCAGGGAGGGCGGTTTAGGCCATAAATTCCCGCCCCCTGCCGGCAACTCAGCCAGAGGCCACATTCGCTGCTGCTGTGCCGCTAAATTACCGGCGACGCCATGGACAGGCTGGGCTCACGGTGTCCTCTGCCAGGCTACCCTCGGCCCTCTGTCCTTTTATGCCTCCTGGTGAGTGCTCACGCTACGACCTTACCTCCAACCTGGGAACTGAGGGAAAAAGACACACTTCCCTTTACTGCTCTTGGCATTTTGAGCTGGGGGCAGGCAGGTAGGGGATGGACAGGAAAAGCCCTGGAGGCACCACCCGGTCTCCTGGAGACTGTGGTGTGGTTCTGAAGCTTACTAGCTCCCCTTCTTCACTCTGTCAGTAGGGGTGGCTGGGCTGTTTCATTGCCAGGGAGGTGCAGGGGTATCTGGTGGTGAGTTCTTGTCTAAGGGTCACTTGATAGGTTCTTTTCTTTCTGTTGCAGTTACCATGTTGCCTTTATGGGGGCTTTGTTTCTGTCTTAGAAATATCTTCGAATGTTAAGGTTGGGAAGTGACCATTTACAGAGTTATCTCCAGTGGTGGAGGTGGTTCAGGAGGAGATGGAGAAAGTCAGAAGCCTAGGGTCTAGCCCAGCTCTGATGATCACTTTTGGGTGATTTCTACTTCCTTCCGACTCTTATTTCCTCATCTGTAACAATTGGCACATATCAGTGGCTCTTACCCTTTTGGGGCCTGTAGGTTTTCTTGATTTTCTTTCTAGAAAGTTCTGGATTTGTACACAAGCAAACTGTATAGATAAACACAATGTTGTAGTCTTTCAGAATATTCATGGATTCCTTCAAACTAGGTGGGTTATAAATTTAGGTGGATTATAAACTAGGTGGATTATAAATTTAGAACCACTAGGTGGTTTCTGAGGCCCCCTTTGCCTTAACACAGACTATAAAGTCAACCATAACCTCTTAGAGGCTATGCAAATATTCTAGGACCAAAAAAAAAAAAAAGGAAAAAGGCAGAATAAAATGCAAAAATAACTGAAAGAATACATAAAATACTTTTTAAAAATGTAAGAATAGAAAAGGTATGTAGTAAAAGACAAATAGGAAAATGTTGAGTAGACTTAAAAATTATATCTTAAAATGTTCCTATTAGGGAATATTGTGATGTGTATATC